CAAGGAGCGAGGCGCGAATACTTTCCTGCTTCCTGCGCTCCTGGCCAAGACAAAGCAGACCTGGCCTGTTGCCATGTCAGGCGCAACAAGGGTTCCTGCCGATGCCAAACCTGGCAAGTCAAAACTAGCACGAGGCTGATGGCTTACGTGACAACTATCCAGAAGAATGCTTGCTTTTGCAGCCGGTGCACCTTGCCGCAACAAGAAGACGCGTCCGCGAGTGGCGGTTCACCCCTACCCATGGTCTGCTCGTGACTCTTGTCAACTGACCTTCTTCGGGCATGGCTTTGCCGGGGCACTGGTGCAGGTGGTCACATACAGCTGCTTTCTTCTATCAACATCTGCACATCGAGAATCATGTGGTTCTGGACCATCCGGGCAAGGTACTCTGTTCATGGTAGCGTGACTACATCCGCCATCATCCACCTATGCAAACAAATGAGCCCTACATGTTGAGCACACCAAGGACCGCACAAACACGACAAATACGCATTAAATCACCCGGTTCGAAGCAAACATCTAAGATTGGTCTAGGGTTGCCCTCTCCAGAGTCTCCTTGACGTTTCATGCCACAAAAAAGGCCCCCTTCACGCGCAGGCACGCGCAGTCCTCGCAAAGATCGGCGGAGGCCCTCCGCAGACTTAGGTGGGCTGAAGCAGATAGGACCATGAGCAAGATCAGATCCTCAGCTGATATGCGAGAGCTCGCATCTACGCGAAACCCGCGGCTTTTTCTCGCTCCATGCGGAATATATGAGACGGCTGACTTGCACCTTCCTTTTGCCCTCAAGATTTCATAACACTCACGACGCACAACATCATGGCAAAAGGCTTGACTTGGATGGCCTCTTGCCCGTTGCACGCGGGTCTGGTGATGTTCAGGGTACGTGGCCTCCTATCATGAGGTAAAGCGGACGCAAAAACACGCACACACACACAACTCACACGCGCACACAGTAATCAACACATCTTTACACAACCAATTTGAGACGTTGGCAAATGGTCGCATCACCACTTGCGCACAGGGAAAAGTCGCCCTTTTCAGGCACGTGGGGAGACGGCCTCCACATGCCGTTGTATCCGTTTTGCAGTCTGAGCATCTAGATTCCAAACGACGCCGTTCGACAGCCAGGCAAGCCATGCCCCATTCAAGGCTAGGCAGATGGGGTGAATCGCCATGCTGAGCAAGTAATTCACTGAGGCCAGCGAGACGCCAGCTTCCACGTCTTCCAAAAGGGTGGGTTCCTCGCAGGCAGGTGAATGCCCACCCATGCACAAGATCCACAACAGGGAAGTATCCAGGTGGCAAGCTCCTGAAGTAAATCAATGATTCGGGTGAATGGACACACGGCAAGGGCAACAGTCCAAGAATGCCATATTTGGGCTAAAGCTAGGCCACCTCCAAAACCAATTCGCATAGAACCAATGAATTCACAGACCCTCAGGTACCCGGGCAGCTTTGGCACACCACCAATCAGGGGTACGGTGATATAAGGTGTCGTTGCCCTGGGCACGGCGCAGGCTTGAGCCGCAACACTTTCTCAGGCTAACAACCAGCCACAGCCCAGTGCAATCAGTGGTCCACATATATGTCCATATCATACCAGGCACTCTCTGGGAAACCAACGAGCAAAAGGCATGCTTCTCTTTGTTGTCATAAAGGGCTAAAACATGGCATGTCCCATCATATTGCGTGCAGCTGGTTCTTCCCGCGGAGAACAATCTGGCCTGACGAGCGCGGCCAAAGCAAAGTGCCAGAAAGGCGTAGAGGGAGACGAGCAGATCGAAGCGGAGGCTTGTTGAGCCCGATGCGATCAGCCCGAGGACTAGGAACAAGGTGTACAAGCCGAGGTACGGCGATATCACCGGCAACTGCCTCAAGGGCAGTTCCACGCCTCTTGGCTTTCAGAACCAACACAAGCAAAACATCTTCCAGCCTGACGGTCAGCGTGAGAGCCGCCCCCGAGGGGCAGAAGAGACACATGTCCCACATGTTCAATGCAATCGCAAGTTAGCCAATTCATTCTGTGCAGTCCCTGACATAGCGATTAGCGATCCGCTTCCCACTACTTAACAACACAAACTGACAATTCGCAATTCCTTAGTTTCAGCACAGCAGCCGCTGGATAATTCGTTGATCACTCCCTTCCGTCTCTTCCCAGGCTACTTGTCACAAGGCCAAGCATTCGGAAATCATTGGCAACGCTTGCAGCTGGTTTCCTGTCGCCCTACCATCACCCGAAGTTCTGCCTTGAGAATCAAGAGCATCACAGAAGACTCTGGAGAGGATCCCAAGGCCGGATGGTCAATGCAGTCAAACTTCAACAGCAAAAGGCTCGGCTGACCAAAGCCTTGCGGAGCCTGCCTTTCTTCACTGCGCAGCCAAGCCACAAGGTGATGCGGGTGAAGCTCGCTATCACATAAAAGCAAAGCAGCCAGCGCCTCGGTCGCGTAATTTTGCGCATCATGCAACCACCCACACCGCAAAAGGAATGACCAGGTGGGGGCAAAAACGGGGCCCTTCGGCTTCTGGCGCCCTTTTCAGGGGCACAACTGACCATACCCGGCCTGTGCCTCCGACGGGAGTCGTGACTGCGCTGGGCCTCGAGGGTTCTCCGCCACCACTGCGCTGCTGCCTGCCAGGCCATGTCTTTGGACATGGCCTCTGTGCCATAGCTCCAGAAAGGTCGGCCCAGCATGGCACGATCTTGCGAAGGCCAAGCGCTCAGCACCTTTGCCAGAAATGAATTCAGGAAGCCTGGGTCTTGCTGTCAAAGTCTTTGAAAGCCACTTGCGCTTGAAATTGGATTTGTTCCAGGTATGTACATGTTTTCCTATCACACCCTGGGATTGTGCCCTTTGGGAAATCACCCTAGTCCAGCTCATTTGGAGATAAAACCTGGCTATGTTTGCTTATTTGGGAGTATGGTGGGCATTTTCCCCAGGATGCAATCCCAGGGTGTAATAGGAATGTCCTTCGAAAGGAACCCTCTAAAGCACGCTGAGCTGAGCAAATGCCGGCGAGATGCAAAGGTCACGCCCGTGACTGGCAATCCAGTGCCACACACACCGCACGGAGGACGGAATGACGAATCGGTGTAGGATACACGGAGCGGACATTCGGAGCACCATGTTCCAGGGGCAAAAAACACTCCCAACATTAAAAGGGCGTGAATGGAATTCAGCATCTTAATCTTCATCCTTGTGTCCACTGGAGGACACCAGCTTACTGTAACCAGGCATGGCTGGGGCATTCATTGGGTGGCTGGCCAGCCTCTTCTGAAGCACCATTCTGGTGGTATGAAATTCTGTACCCTGTTCTCAGGGATCGCCCAGCGGGGTGAATGCCAACCCATCCTCAACATGTTCTTGGCATGCTGGAGCGTCCCAGCGAAATTGCAGTCGTCCAGTCAAATCAAATCCAGGTCATGTCATACCAATTTGGGGGAACTCTAAACCTCGCATGTTGCAAGTTGCCTTGAGCAAGCCTCCATTGCATCCGTCCGGATTGGGGTCCCTGTCATTACCCTTCAACACCAACAGCTGGAGGGCCTCGTCCAAGAGAGGACAACAACGGACTCTTGCGGTGGGGCTCGTGCTGGTTTCGTGCAATGAGCCACACAAAGTCATTACTTTTGCCAAGTGTTGACACACAGGACACACACACAAAGAATCCTCAACCTGTGCCAAATACGTCGGAGCCAAGTGGCCGCGGCCTGGTTGATCGACGTTTCAACTTCGGTTCCTGACATCTGTCCTACCGAAATCGCAGCTTACTACCGCCTGAAAGGGGCTGAACCATTTGCCGAATGTGGCTACCGATCCGTGCCTGGGCATCTAGATGGCTGATACAAACACGCACGTGCTATAGTGTGTCTGTGTGTGTCTGTGTGTGTGTGTCTGTCTGTGTCTGTCTCTGTCTCTGTCTCGGTCTCGGTCTCTGTCTCTGTCTCTGTCTCTGTCTCTGTCTGCCTCTGCCTCTGCCTCTGCCTCTGCCTCTGCCTCTGGCTGTGGCTCTGGCTCTGGCTCTGGCACTGTCTCTGTCTCTGTCTCTGTCTCTGTCTCTGTCTCTGCCTCTGTCTCTGTCTCTCTGTGTGTCTCTCTGTGTGTCTCTCTGTGTCTCTCTCTGTGTCTCTCTGTGTGTCTCTCTGTGTGTCTCTCTGTGTGTCTCTCTGTGTGTCTCTCTGTGTGTCTCTCTCTCTCTCTGTGTGTGGGTGGGTGGGTGGGTGGGTGGGTGGGTGGGTGGGTGGGTGGGTTTGACTCATATGCAAAGGGATCTAACTGGAACTGTCCAGCCGACATTTTAATACGACTGCCTAACCCAAGATCTTGCTTAATCAGGCACAGTCACCCTGAGTTCAACCAGAAGCTTTCCCGATGTTTAATGTCCTGCCAACAGTTCATCCCGAGTGTCAACGGTTGCAAAGCAAGGGGAAAACACAACTTCATCCCAGGGTTGACGTCAACCCTCTTCCATGGTTGCAAAGGGAAAACAACAAACACCTGAAACGAAAAAACACATTCTTAGGGCCCCGCAAGTTCTGAATGTGCTAAAGTTGTGCTGTGCTGGTTCACCGCCCTGCCCTGAACAAATCCAAGCATCATATGAGTCATGATCAAAACCGATGGGAAGTAAAATGGTCGTACTCCCACAGCCATGCTTCAAGACTTGATGATGGGCGGATATTCGCAGCCAGTGGCAAGTGGATTGTCCCTTACCCTCCAAGTACCCGAATGGGCTTTGAGGACGTGACTCATATTGATTACTAGGTCCTCCAGCAGAGAGGTTAGAATCAGGGTACCAACTTTCTTCTGTCGTCTATTTTAGTAGGAGCTGGGGGACCTAGTCAATGGTGCAAGCCCCAAAGAATCAACACATTTGATTGTTAGATGGCCATGGGTCAAAATCCCTTCCCCTTCGTGAACATCCCAATCCCCACTAAAATAGGTTCTAAAATGGGTGGTGCACTGGGGGACCTAGGCTCAGCCGGGCGCCCGGGCGCGTCAAGGCTTCAAAGCGGCCCCAGGGGGCGAAGCGCTGGGCGGCCGCTGCTTGTAGCGCCGCACTGGCGGGAGCTGTTGGTTGGTCGGTCGGTCGGTCGGTCGGCCGGTTCGTTGGTTGGTCGGCCGGTTGGCTGGTTGGTTGGTCGGCCGGTTGCCTGGCTGGTTGGTCGGCTGGCTGGTTGGTGGGTTCGTTGGCTGGTTGGTTGGTTCGTTGGTTGCTTGGTTTGGTATTTACGTTAAGACGGAACAGCCAAGGGACAACCAATGGTTTCAGGATGCTTCAGGGGCCCATGATGTTTGGGACTGGAAGAAGGTATCCGCGCACTATCCGCGCTATCCCACTCGGGCTCTAGTGCCAGCCATTCTCAGCCGTATGTGCAAAGTGTTCGACCATGGAAGGCTCTCGAAGCCTGGATGCTTTGCAACGAAGAAAGCAACGCCTGCGTGGATTTCAAGACACATAAAGAAAAAGCTCAAGCTTGCGGCACGCAAAATCCCAGGCGCCAGTTCCACCCTGAAGCGCTTGCATCTGGTTCAGGTCCCCTCCGCAAACGCTTCGCTTCTTTTCCCTCGCCGCGGGCTCTACGCGGGCACGGTGGAGCACCAACAAATCCGCGAGCTCCACGCACCTGGCGCTGTCAAGGGGCAGCGCTGCGAGCCAGCGCCGGGCGCGCTCCGCCGCCGGCTGCCAGAAGAACCTGAAGGATCAACCCTTTGATGTGCGAAGTAAAACAACCAGCTTCCCACTGGCTTCCACTGGCTTCAAGAATTGTTGCACCCACTGGCTTCCCCTCCCCCCAACCAAAAAACAAACGCACACATTTTGCACCCATCTCATCCCGGCATCCCCCCCCCCAAAGAACAAAAACACGCAGATTGCCCCACGAGAATCCGACCAAACCCAAACCGATCACCAGCTTCACCAGTGAGCACATGTTACACCCACTTAATTGCCCCCCCCCCCCCCTCCCCCACAAAAAAAACAAACACACCCTCCCCTCCCCCCTCCCCCCTTCCCCCCTCCCCTCCCACTTACGCCCCCACAAAGCTGAAAAACCGATCTGCGGTCAGAGGGCTGCTCCCTGCAGCAGCTCTGCAGCGCCGCCAGCGCCGCGCAGCTGTGCGCCGCGGCCTCGTTGCTTCCCAGCGCCGAGGCCAGGAGCTCCAGGTGGGTCCAGTTGAGGCCAGCCGCTTGGGCACTGGACTTGTCGAACAGGAAGAAGCCTTCGCGTTTTCAGAAGCTGGGAAAATGGTGTCGTGAATGTGATCTAGATCTGTTTGTATTTGTATACCTGTACACAGAAATACATATGTAAATGCATCTATGCATAATATGTATATACATCTATATATATATATACATATACAAATAAAGGTTGAGGGGTCCCGGTTGTATCATGGTTGAGGTGCGCTGCCTGAGCACGTGCACTTGTGACAGGCCATGCCAGGCCGGCAACCAGCTACATCCGGCCCGGTCACTTTGCAATCAGCCGCTACAAAGTCCACTGGGCAAATCGCCGCGGGGATTTTTTTGCACACGGCAGACACATCAAGGTGGCGTTGAGCGCTTGGAAACCCGAAGCAGCCCGAGGGGTATGAGTCAAAGCAGTCCGGGCCCGATGGCTGAGCGAAAGGTTGGGAGAACGCCGCGGAAACGGAGTCACAGCATGTCACAGCATGGTACAGAAGCACCAAGCCGGGTAGAAGCTGCAGACATCGCATCGCCAGTCTCCTCAGAATGGATTCCAGCTTGCACGGGACCGTGCTTAGCATCCGAAAGGACGCCATCTTGCTGGTGCGTAGGAAATGACCCAGGGTGTTTGTAATGAAGCCATCCATCATTCCCGCAGCCGGCCTTTTGAACAAATGGATCCCATCTACTTTTAGCCAAACTCACCTCAAAAGAACACCTATGCAACTCATTCCGCGCATCTCCCGCACCAAGCCATTCCCCCCCCCCCTCCCCCCGCGCCTGCGAAGCTCTGCTGTTGCGCCACCGCCTCCGGCGCCACCGGCGCCAGCCGCGCCACCGCTCCCCACGTTCCGCCCTCCGCTGCCGCGGCGCGCCGCGCGGCGCTCGCCAGCGCGGCGGGGGCGGGGCAGCCCTCCGCCACAGGCCTCACGAATCCGCGGCAAAATCGGAGGACACGGGGACTTGGACGTAACCTGCTCAGCTTCATAGTTGGCTTCGTGGCTTGGCGGCTTGGTGGCTTGGTGGATCCTCTTCCATCCGGAGCAAAAAGGGGGAAATGGAGGCAACCAATGGCGGCTGTACTGCCGAAAACATCTTTTGACATTTTTGACCTGTCTCATTTTCCCCAGCAACAGGGGAACGGAAGGTAACCTTTAGCGGCTGCACCTTAAAAAAAAAAAAACTTCGAGCGCCTTCGCTCTGGGATGTTCACATTTGCCTACTCCACATGGTGAACTGCCCTGGAAGCGGCAACACAAATTAGCAAACAGCCAGAGCAAATCGAGTGGTTGGCAGAAACAGGCTCATGACCGTCATTGCTTCTTCGGCGACATTCGGCCCAAAGTCCCCGAGCAACAGGGAAACCAAAAACACGAATACCCTGTGTAAATCCGCGACGGAAGCTCCTAACATCTTTCGCTGAAACTTGGGATCACAAAAACACTTCGGGACTGGCTCAACATGGAAATTTTCAGCCACCGTTTTCCCAATCTGCGTGCCCAAAACGGGTGTGTTCCCCCAAAACGTCCCATGTGAACCCACGTCACTTTGCTGTTGACCCCCTGCAAAAAGCTTAAAACTTTGGGGGGGTTCAGTGGAAAACCCCTTGGTTTCCCAGAAAGCTAGAGGCAGGTGGATTCCGGGCCGCCTCTCGAGCGGCAGGGCCAGCTTCAGGATCTCAGTACCCCCGGCGTCCGCAGTCAGCTCGCAGTTTGTGGACACCTGAAAGGTCCAAGGAAGGGGGGTGGGGGGGGGGAGGGTTGAGGAGGGTGAGGGGGGGGGGAGGGTTGGGGAGGAAAGCCGTTTTTGGGGTGCCGTTTCAAGTGGAGAACCAGTTGACAGCCAAACACGGCAACGATGCCACTCAATATGCTTTTGGCAGCTTTGAGGAATCCTTGACAAGCCACGAACTTGATGCATGGGCCTGGGCCGAGGTTGGACAGTGAAGGGAGGGGTCGCGACAGAAGTTCAGCCTTTTGAAGATCTGGCCGGAAGCGGCCAATTTCAAGTGGGAAGGCGTGTTTGTTTGCTATCACTGGGGAAAATGTGGATCCCAGGAGCACTTTCTTTGACCCCTGGCAAGCCAATGTCAATTGGAGAAGCATCTCGGTGGCCAAACGAAACGCGGCCAAGCCAACAGCAACCAAAACTCAATACCACGAACCAACACCAGAACAAGGAAACCAAAAAACAACTCAAAGCAAAACCGCTCCCTTTACTGTTGTCCTATTTGTCCTTTGTTGTTCTCTCCCCTTCCAAACCTCCCCCACTCGTTCGCCCCGCCCGACTCGCCCGTCCTGGAGGGTGACCACGCCGAAGGACGCCGAGAGCTGCTGGTTCAGCGGCTGGGTGGTTTCCGCCAGCGCCAGGCTGGCGCCGGCGAGGCGCAGCGGCACCGAGCCGTTGCCCCAGAGCCGCACCGTCCTCGGCTTCGGCTGCGCCGCAAGCCGGGGGAAGCGGGGGGGTAAGCTATTTTGCCACCACTTCCATTTTAAGAAACCAGCTGCAGGAATTCCTACAGGGAAAAACCTGGTCCTTTCATTTAGAGTCTGCTTTTTTCGGGTTCGCTGCAAAAGAGACCCTAGGTGTCCATGGCACCGGGAGGGGCGGGGGGGGGGGGGGCTGAGCTGAGCTGGCCGGGCGCTCGGGCGCAAGAGCGCCACGGACTTAAAGGTCGCGTTGGGTTGAAGGCCGTGGCGAAGTTATGGGAGACACAGAAAACAAGGCTGGAAAAATCGGACCCCAGCCAAAAAAAACATATCTTGTTTTTTGCCTGGTGAGCGGAAAACAAAGGGAACCCCAAAAAGCAAAAAACAAAAAAGGGAGCTATTTCTGGGGAAGAAAAGAGCTTCACATGAGTGCGGCTCAAGATTAAGCAGGAGGGGCAAACCGCAGGTTTTGGTCCACTTCCCAGGGCAACCCATTTTGGACTTGCTTTCTTTTTTTTGAGCCACAGCCACATTGGGGGGGGGTCCCTTTGGCCAAAGGCAGGGGGAGGTACTGTATCCCCTTGAAGATCAATGGTACTGTGGACGGAAGAAACCCATGGGTTCAATCTGGTGCAGGATTCCGTGCATCAGTGGGAAGCAGACCTTCATGCACTGCCGCTGCGATACTAGCGAGGGTGGTGAATGTCGAAGTCGTAAGATGGACCACGACTCAAATGTAACGCGCTACTCGCAGCGTTCGCAGCACCAAGTTGTTCACTCGCCAGATTCAAGGCATCTCACTGGATTTGAAGAACTATGAGAACTCGGCTGCAAGGAAGTTTGTGGTGAGCAGGGGTCAGATTCAGGGGGCTTGCTTGGCTCGCCGAGGGGCTCCGGCATTGATACGCACCGCTCCTGGTGAAAGCGCACCAGGCACACCCCAGCGACCAAATCTCCCAGCTGGATGCCCACCCAAACACGCAGCCCGGGCAGCTCCTCTGGCTCCTGGATGGCTCATCTTGGTTGCGTTGGATCCTTCGCCTACTGTGGGCCCGTTGAATCTAGGATTTCTCGGTTGCTTTCTGCTCCCCTGCTAAACGTTTAACTTTTAGTGGTTTAATGGAGCACTCATTAGTTGGCAATAAGTTATAGTCCTAACATCCAAGCGAAATGCACCTCTGATTTCGTGACTTTCGACACTGCCACTTTTGCTCGCCACCTTCGGCAAGCGACTAAGTGACTTCTGGGGAAGTCTGAAACCATGAGATGTTTCCCCACCAGAGAACGGGTTGTGAAAGGGAACCCTAGAAAAACTCGCTCTCACAAACCTGGAACTGATACTGCCGAAGGCGACCAACAGTGAAAGCGCGCCCGATCCAACAAATGACAGATGTCTTTGCCCAGCCCTTGGGAAACCAGCATCAATGGGTGCGGATTGAAA